TGAGTTGAAGGTCGTGGAAAAAAAAACTCGGAGGTTTTCATCCTTTTTGTTTTTACTGGCAAATGAGGATCGGGCCTTAATCAGACTGAGACATGTCAGGCCTGTGATGAAACATTTCCCAATCTAACCAAGAGGTTAGTTTTTTCAGTTTCATTTATTTGGTATAGCCCTGTGAGCCATGGGGCTCTTGAATTGGGTGCAACCGCAACAAACAAAAAACATAAACATGAACAAGAAAACATCTTAAAGTGACTATGTGACAAAGTGCAAACAGAAAATCCAAGAAAAGACAGCAAAATATTGCAGAAAAAGCACCGTACACCAACGCTGTGTGCAAAAATCCCAGTGGGATGCATGTCAAACAACAACAACAACCACAAGACAACTTAGATTAAGGCCATCAGTCTAACTCCGTACTACAACAAACATGGCCAAACAAACAAACATGGCCAAACAAACATGGCAACCTTGAGATAGCTTCCATATGTGATAATGATTCATTTTCCTTTACGCCAGCGCATCTTGGAGGTCTTTACACGCGATAAGCCGCCGACACATCACAGCTCATCTCAGACAATTGAAAGGGGGCACCCCCAGTGGCAGCAGTCCCACGGGCACAATGTGATTTTAGCACCTGTTAAGCCAGGGGTGGGGAACCTTTTTTCTGCCAAGGGCCATTTGGATATTTATAATATCATTCGCGGGCCATACAAAATTATCAACTTAAAAATTAGCCAGCTGTTATATTTGGTCAAACATTTAATTAACTCGCCCCTAATGTGATGGCTGAAACTGCTTCTCTTTGGCGAGGCGTGTGATGTTAGCTCGTATTGATGATGTTGCTACTCGCAACTGCTTTTTCAGGTTCGCTCCTCGATTTATTGAATTTCGAGTCCCGTCTGCGGTTGCCTTGGCAGGGCCACACCAAATGATTTCGCGGGCCTCACACGGCCCGCGGGCCGGACGTTCCCCACCACTGTTATGCAATCGGGCACGAGGCAATAGGCCTATCAAAAGCGCACACTCTACCACAGCGGTCGGGAACCTATGGCTCGCGAGCCATATATGGCTCTTCTAGTGACGGCATATGGCTCCCAGACAATTTTGAGTTGAAAAAATAAAAAAAATTCAGTTTGGAACTGATTTTAAAATACTTGTGATATTGCTGAATAATAGCGTGTCATTTTAAAGTAAACAAATTAGTTTTGAAGATTAATTTCACGGGTCACGCCTGCACGAAGCTCAACCTCACCACGTACGAACCAGACTACAAGGCCATCAGCAATACCATGCAACACCAGAAGTCGCATTAAAAGTAATACATATTTAATTTATTATACGTTAAAAATACTATATGGCTCTCAATGAAATATATTTAGAAATATTTGTATTTTATGGCTCTCCCAGTCAAAAAAGGTTCCCGACCCCTGCTCTACCGTGATACATTTTGTACACCACACCGGTACCAGCTCTCCATACAAATCACTTCCAGCCACCCGAACACAGATGCCAATTCCCGGACTCTGTCTGGCCAACCACATCAGAGGCAATCATCCTCATCACAAGTGCGGCACAAAAAGGAGACCTCAACATCAAAGTGTCGAACTCCAAGCACAATTCATCATCGCCTCCGTGAAGGACCTGGGAAGCATGACCACCCATCTTCAAACGGCTAATGTGTGTGTGTGCGTGGCGTGGTTTAATGAAATTCACGAAAAGCAATTTTCGCTGCACGTTAAAACAAATATTCGGTGAAAATTAAACTGGCCCTTTGCACACGTGTCACGCGCGCATGTTGCCATCGACAGCACCTACCTACCGCAGGTGCATCGGGAACCAATCGCTCACATCGCAGCACTGGATTATATTGCGACACGGATTCTATTGCGGGGTGACATTGTTTGTGCCGCGTATGTGATTGTGACCGTATGCGAGGAGATAACGCACACACAAACTAAGACGCGACGCAGGCTTGTGAATTGTAATGCACGCGTTTATTACGACAGATTTCGTTCTGGATTCGAATTAACGAAGCCCATCTCGCCGAGATGACGGCGATGGTTGTGTTTAGGCTTGACGGTGGCAGGCAACAGGTAGGGCGGCCGCAAGAAGTCTCCCACATCATCAGCAGGCCCCAATGATCCGATCGAAATCCCTAATTTCGATCGTATCATTGGGGTTTATTAGTAATACATCGGCATTCTGTGACCCCCACTGCCACTGTGTAGCATATTATTACGTGCCAGGGACTCTATGAGATGATAGGACAATAGTCTGAGTCCATAATTGGTAGTAAGTAACGGCAAAGCAGTTATAAGTGACTCAGAATTGAGCGAGCACGATGCCGATCACACGACGCGGTTCGAATTTGACCCTCGATCGACGGCTGCGCCATCGCCGCACACAATCGTCTAATAAAAGGCAAGGGACAAGTCCTTACTCACTAACAACTCCTCTATCCTATGGGGACCTCATTTGCCAGTAAAAATATGATAATTGGTTCTTTACCCTTCTATCTGGCAACAAAACTGACACCTTTTTGCAAGGAGTCATGTTTGCATAGACCGCAATACCTGCAGTCATAAATACATGACTCCTTGCAAAAAGGTGTCAGTTTTGTTGCCAGATAGAAGGGTAAAGAACCAATTATCATATTTTTACTGGCAAATGAGGTCCCCATAGTGTAGATGCTTGCCCCGAGCTCTCATACTCTGATGGTGCATTGTCCTTGAGTTGTGCGCCTTTTGGCGTCATCTGGTCCAACCCATATGAGACTAGGCTCGAAGGAAAGCTGTCTCGGGTGTGGACCAATCAACTTCAAGGACAGTGCACATTATCAGAGTTATGTCTTTTGTTTGTATTTATGACTGCAGGTATTGCGGTCTATGCAAACATGACTCCTTGCAAAAAGGTGTCAGTTTTGTTGCCAGATAGAAGGGTAAAGAACCAATTATCATATTTTTACTGGCAAATGAGGTCCCCATAGTGTAGATGCTTGCCCCGAGCTCTCATACTCTGATGGTGCATTGTCCTTGAGTTGTGCGCCTTTTGGCGTCATCTGGTCCAACCCATATGAGACTAGGCTCGAAGGAAAGCTGTCTCGGGTGTGGACCAATCAACTTCAAGGACAGTGCACATTATCAGAGTTATGTCTTTTGTTTGTATTTATGACTGCAGGTATTGCGGTCTATGCAAACATGACTCCTTGCAAAAAGGTGTCAGTTTTGTTGCCAGATAGAAGGGTAAAGAACCAATTATCATATTTTTACTGGCAAATGAGGTCCCCATAGTGTAGATGCTTGCCCCGAGCTCTCATACTCTGATGGTGCATTGTCCTTGAGTTGTGCGCCTTTTGGCGTCATCTGGTCCAACCCATATGAGACTAGGCTCGAAGGAAAGCTGTCTCGGGTGTGGACCAATCAACTTCAAGGACAGTGCACATGATCAGAGTTATGTCTTTTGTTTGTATTTATGACTGCAGGTATTGCGGTCTATGCAAACATGACTCCTTGCAAAAAGGTGTCAGTTTTGTTGCCAGATAGAAGGGTAAAGAACCAATTATCAACTCCTCTATCATTTTTCGTTGCCCTCCCGACCTGAAAATCCTGGCTCCGCCGTTGGCGCCGAAGCACACATTTCCTTCATACATTTAAAATTTAAATCGAGCCACGGTCGGTGCGAATGTGAGTCGCCTCCACCTGCACGGGAGGAGGAAATAGCAACAAAAGAACTACACGAACTCTCTCCCGAAGCCATCTTGTCGTGGGCAGCAGCAAGAACTCGCCATCGGCATCTATCTCCTAATAATCACGTGACTGCTGTCTCCCCGACAGACCCTGGTCTTCGCCTGAGGACGGCTGCTTGCGTTGTGGCCGAAACGTCGTGAGAATCCCTTCTACGTGACTTTACCGAAAGAACCAAGAAGATGACTGCCATCATTCGCAAGAATAGAATTAGATCGGGCAAGTAATTGTCTCTGGAGGCACGCGTCCGCAATTGCACTTTGTCTTCCTCGATATGTGATGAGATTTCGTTGAATTTACGATGCCGGGCGACTGATCCTGGGGAGAGGGATGGAGAAATATGAAACGGAGCGGAATCCGCGGATGATCTGGCCTCGTGATCCGGGATGGTGTTAGGAGCGGTGCGGCTGTATTTCATGTTGGTTTTAATAGATTTAAATGATGGAATCAGTCTGCTGACCTCCACTGAACTGGCACTATTCAGGCTCCTGTACCTCCTGTCGTTTGTGTGCACTAAAATAGCAGTATCTGTTCTTGGGGGCCGTCCATAAATGACGTCACGCGATTTTTGACGATTTTTGACCCCCCCCCCCTCTCGTCACATGACGTCACAAAGAGTCAGACCCCCCCCCCCCTCAACTATGACGTCACAAAGCTCTGCCCCCTCTCACCCCCCCAAAACCATATTTCCATTTTGAAAACGAAACATGCTTCAAATCGCTTTAAACTATTGTCATTGTAGTGCGTATTTAATGTGGCGCTGCACTCCGATGTTGTAGGAGTGTTATAACAATTCATGTTGGTATAACAATTCTATATTTATTTAAAGTTGTGCATTTTCATGTGACGTCACATTTCTCCCCCCCCCCCCCCTCGTCGACCTCTGCAGCATCAGCAGCAGCAGCAAGCAACGCGTGGAATCGCGACGGGGGGTGGGGGGCAAAATCGTGGCACCGGAATCGCTGTCGCTTGGATCGATCCGCGGGTTGTGACCCCCCCTCCCCCACTTAGCCCGCCTTGGCCAGGTAGTGGGGGGGGGTATAATCGTGGCAACGGAATCGCCGCCGCTGTGGATCGATCCGCGAGGTGGGGGTAAAATCGTGGCACCGGAATCGCCGCCGCTGTGAATCGATCCGCGAGGTGGGGGTAAAATCGTGGCATCGGAATCGCCGCCGCTGTGAATCGATCCGCGAGGTGGGGGTAAAATCGTGGCAACGGAATCGCCGTCGCTTGGATCGATCCGCGGGGTGTCCCCCTCCCCCCGCCCCCTCCCTTCTTTGGCGAGGGAGCGAGAGGATCGGAGGCGATGGCGGCGCTGCGTGCGCTCGAGTGGATCTTCGTCTTCTACTTCGCGTCGCACGTCCCCATCACGCTGCTCTTCGACTCGCAGGCGCTGCTGCCCAAGGGCGCGATCCCGTCGCTGGTGAGAGACGCGGCACGGAGAGAGGGAGACACAGAGAGAGAGAGACAGAGACACAGACAGAGATACAGACAGAGACACACAGAGACAGACAGAGAGACACAGACAGAGACACAGACAGAGAGATACACAAACAGAGAGAGACAGAGACACATAGAGACAGACAGACACAGTGAGAGACAGAGAGAGACACAGACAGAGAGAGACACAGACAGAGAAACACAGACAGAGGCACAGACGGAGACACAGAGAGACAGACACAGAGAGAGACACAGAGAGACACAGACAGACACAGACAGAGAGACACGGAGAGAGAGGGAGACAGAGACACAGAGAGAGACAGAGCGAGCGAGGCACCTGGGCATCTTCGTGGTCAGAGATGAACGACGACTCGTGAGGCGAATCGTCATCCTATAGTCATCGTCATCCCATAGACAGTCATCCCATAGACAGTCATCCCATAGACAGTCATCCCATAGACGCCGTCATCTTATAGACGCCGTCATCCCATAGACGCCGTCATCCCATAGTCATCGTCATCCCATAGACGCTCAGTGGGCCTTGCCCCGAAAATGAAAACTGGACTTCCACGTTAAACTGGTCTCCCATGGTAAACTGGACTCCCATGGTAAACTGGACTTCCACGTTAAACTGGACTCCCATGGTAAACTGGACTTCCACGGTAAACTGGACTTCCACGTTAAACTGGACTTCCACGTTAAACTGGACTTCCACGTTAAACTGGACTCCCATGGTAAACTGGCCTTCCACGTTAAACTGGGCTCCCATGGTAAATGGACTCCCATGGTAAACTGGACTTCAGTAAAAAAAACTCAATATTTTAAGAGCCGCAATGCGGTTCTTTAAAGAGCCAAATGCGGCTGCGGAGCCGCAGGTTCCTGAACCCCTGCCCTAGGTTGACTCGGCCTAAAAATTAGTGACGTATAAACAGCGGAACTGCAGAGGGAAAAGCATACAATCCTGATACAGACCCATGCACTGGTGTGCCCTACTGGCCTTGCGAGGTTGCTCGCGATTAGCACTTGCCCCAACAGTCTACGCCAGGGGTGTCCAAACTTTTTGCAAAGAGGGCCACATTTGATAAAGTGAAGATGCCCGGGGGCCAATAGTTCCTTCTGACATTGTTTTAACCACAAAAGTTACGTGGAAATACACACTGTTATAAAACAATTTGCATTGTCACAATTACCTTTATTTTTCAAATGACAATGTAACCAAATATAAGCCACTCAGGCAGACGGGAACAACTCTAAAAACGCAATTCTGCCTTTCATTCAGTCAGATAACATTGAACAAACTGTATAGAATACCTTAAATTTCCATGACTTTTATGATGTATTTATTCTGACAGAGCTGGCGAGCCATAACTAACACATTATAAGACCGAAGCTGTGGGCCGTATGAAATCTGCCCGCGGGCTGGACTTTGGACATGCCTGGTCTACGCGGTTCAAAAAGGGCTCTTTAAAGTTTAATTTTGTACGTCTGTCTGATTTTCAGCTGAGCGATCCAATGAAGTGGTATATTCAGAAATTTAAGGACCCCCTGATGGCCAATCCACCAGCTTGGTTCTTCACCTTCATCTACTGTGAGATATTCCTGCAACTCCCCTTCTTCCCCATTGCCGCTTATGCCTTCTACAAGGGTGAGTGAACACACAACATTGTCCATCTTGATTGTAAACTACACTCAAATATTTATATTTAGCTTTACCAGGCAAGGCCCTCTGAGCTATGTAGCTCTTTTTTCAGAAGTGACCCAGCCCACAAATGATGGCCCAACGAAATGGCTCATTGTGGGGACATTTACCGCAGACAAATACTCGAAATCAAGTTCATTTATTAGGTATAGCCCTGTGAGCCATTCGGCTCTTAAATCGGGTGCAACGGCAACAAACAAAAAACAAAAACATGAACAAGAAAACATCTTAAAGTGAATATGTGACTGAGTGCAAACAGAAAATCCAATTGAATACAGCAAAATATTGCAGAAAAAACACCGTACACCAACGCTGTGTGCAAAAATCCCAGTCGGATGCAAGTTAAACAACCAACAACCACAAGACAACTTAGATTAAGGCCATCAGTCTAACTCTGTACTATAACAAACAAACATGGCTAAACCAATACACTTTTCGAAATCACCAAAATAAAGCCATGAAAGCAATGAAACAGTGATCATAGGAACTGTGACGGAATTTTCACAATAAATGGCATAAACATGTACTACCAAAACCCTGCAGCCATAGCTGGCTGCATGAGTCACTCCACAACAGCAGGAGCAGAAATGAATGTGGAGGGAAAAATCCACGCGACCACGGGGAGAACATGCAAGCTCCAAATATACAGCAGCAGTCATCAGGGGTCAGGATCGAACCCACAACCTCCTGTATACCAGGCGAGGTAGTTAACATCTGGCTACCGTGGCACCCTTTGCCTTAGTCCATGTCCCAGAACAGAACATTGGTAGCATCTGAAGTGGAATATCATCATGTATCACTGATCGTTTTTTCTTTGGTCAGTATTCGTGAATTAATGTTTTTCATGAATATCACCCATTCATATTTTTGAGAAGTATACACTGTGCGCGTGCGTGCTGTGCCGGTGTTCTCTCTCCAGGCGGCCGCCGCTGGATCCGCATCCCGGCCCTCGTCTACGCGAGCCACGTGGCCACCTCGCTGCTGCCCATCCTCTCGCACGTGCTTCTGCAGGATTTCACGGTGCCCCCGGGCACCAAGGGCGTTGTGGGCCCCAGCAACGTGCACGAACGCCTCTCCCTGGCTGCCGTGTATCTGCCCTACCTGCTCGTTCCACTGCTCATCATCGCCACCATGTGCCTGAGCAGCACCTACGCCGGCCCGCCCGCCCCTGTCGCCTTATCCGCCAAACAAAAGAAGAAGTGATTTGGCTCGGCGTGATGCGTGCGGACAGTGGCTTGTGACCTCACTATCACATTCGTACTTTGTGCGCAAAGAAAAATCCTTGAAGCTCCTGGCCACCCCCCCCCCCCCCCCCCCCGTTTTGTAATGTGTAACCCGCTAGCCAAATTGCACGTTGAAATTGTTTTCATGTCAGCATAAAATGAGCAGTGTGTGATACCGCCATGGTGCAATGGATAAGCTCGCTGCATTTGCAATGCAGAAGTCGCCGGTACAATCTCCCACCTTGGTTCACTCAGATATATAAATGGATACGCCACAGTCGATGGGCGGATCGCGTATGAATTGAGTAAAGTGTAGGTTACCCCACCTCTTCCAAGACGCATATCTAGCGTGGAAGAGTTTGCAAACGTACCCTCGAGGTGGTTTCTCTAAAGCGCCCATTAGTGGAGGCCCTTCTGCCAGCAGTGCCGTGAGCAAGCAATTGCAGGATTGCACCTTTACCTAGTTCGTGAACAATATGTACCCGGTGGTGAACATGAACACGTCGTATAAGCCAACATGTAGACGGTGAGCGTAAGGCACGGGCTTAGATGCATTACCTCTCTATGCAGCAATGTGCTCGTCATTACCACCATCAACATGCAGACTTGTCCCAAACTCAATACCGATAAATGTCAGCTCAACTGCACCCAGTAAATGTCTCAACTTGGGGGCTGAGTACAGTTTGGAGGCAATGTTACATATCGCCGAATTGTCAGACAAAATAAATTCCAAGCCCCAGTCGGTAGTGTAACTCATCCTCCGCAAAGAGTTGTCCCCTCCGTCAAAAAGTTGCGAGAGGAGCACTCCACACGGTGGTGATGGAGGTAAAACTGTCTCTCTTCGCCGTGGTTTGCATGCTCCAACTTGGAATGGCGCGCACCTTTCGCCGATTGGCACAATGCTGACATTGAAACATTTTCAATTGTGTGATCTGGCCAGTTGTTAATGTTCTGTCATGGAGAGCGGTGGTGGTGACATCTAGAATATACAAGCTTTTACAAAGTAAAAAAAAAACACTTTGTAAATTAGAATGTGCAGATGGTGTACTCTGACATTTTAGCTGGAGGACAGAATTACAATCAGTACGAGAATGCAACTCCATAAGAGGTTTTTTTTTTTGGGTTGGATCGCGTAAATATATTAATGTGTCGTTAAAATCCGCCACCACCCAACACAGACAACTATTAAGGGTTGTCACGTAAACAGAACGTGGCCAATTCTTCACTGGTTCAGCACTAACCGGTGTGTTGGAGAGCCAAGCCACTACATTTACAATCCGAGTACGACGTTTCGCCAGTAATTAAAACCAGCTTCATCAGGCGACAGCCAGATTTGTGGAGAAGTCCACCAGTTTCGTTCCTTAAATAGAGGCGTAGATGTGTGAACACAACTGCAACTGATGGTAAAAATGTGGACAAAAATAATGATGAAATCGAATCGCAATGTCCTGGTCACTATTCTCTCCACCTGAAGAATCTCGCATGTGTTGCGATCGAAACGTCGTTGGCTTTTTGCTTTTAATTTTTGTTTTCTATCTACGTGACTTTACCGAAAGAACCAAGAATATGGGGGGAGGGAGTTCAATGTCTTGTTGTTGTTGTTGTAGGACACTTAGGTTGAACCATTTGCAAAATAAGCGTTGCCGCATTAATGTTGGTTTGGAATCTTTATAAACATCAAGCTTACGGGAACATGCTATGGATGCTTTTCCCGACAAAGTAACGTGGGCCCAATGATATAATTATCTTTTTGTGATTATTTTTCATGTGAGTTAATTTTATTTCCTTATAATTGCTAATTTTCTTTATAAAATAAAAAAAATGTGATCGAGCAGATTTAAAAGTGTTTTATGCCAATGTGTCACATGACCATTACATCTGAATTCATGAAACTTAAGAGCTGGGCTATCTGAATTAGTAATCTATTACTGATTTTCAGTTAAATTGCTCAACTAATCGGATCAAAAAGAATAGTTGCTCGGGAAAACTCACCTATGTTTCCCAATTACTTGGGAGACTGTAACTACAAGGGCTATTTTTAAAAGAAATAATTAAAAACGTAGTCCAAGCTCTTAATTAAACGATACACCTGCTAACAGTGGCTGGGTATGAGTTGGAGTTAAGTTCAATGAACACTTGAGCTGAAATGGACAAGTGTAAGGGGAGGGGGTGTGTAAATTGTGGTTTATTGGAAGATACATTTTAAGACAGCTTAGCGATGCCAATATTCACATTTTTAAACGAACTCCGCTTTCTGGCCTGCGACCATGGCAGGCCAGCAAGCTGTGGACGTTCATACATCTTCACGATCCACTCGTCATCGTGCCCACAAGTACTGGGATGAAGACGTGTTCCACCACGCCCCTCATTCACAGCAACCATGGTCAAAAACAAATATGACTACGAAGATGTGCGCCTATGCCCAAATAACGCAATGTGGCCACATGGCCACAAGGCAGGCTAGAGGTGAGCCTGGAAATTGCTTGGATTGGCATCCACGATACACAGCAAGTGTTATACTGGTAGGAACCTCCTGGTTACACCAGCCCACAGGGGATTATTGTGTCTTGTCTGTCCGTCCGTCGTGCAGGGAGGGGCTGGGTGGGGAGGGAGGGGAGGGGCTGGGTGGGGAGCGTGGGGAGGGGCTGGGTGGGGAGCGTGGGGAGGGGCTGGGTGGGGAGCGTGGGGAAGGGCTGGGTGGGGAGCGTGGGGAGAGGCTGGGTGGGGAGCGTGGGGAGGGGCTGGGTGGGGAGCGTGGGGAGGGGCTGGGTGGGGAGCGTGGGGAGGGGCTGGGTGGGGAGCGTGGGGAAGGGCTGGGTGGGGAGCGTGGGGAGAGGCTGGGTGGGGAGCGTGGGGAGGGGCTGGGTGGGGGGTGGGAGGGTGGGGAGGGGCTGGGTGGGGGGTGGGTGGGGCTGGGTGGGGAGGGGCTGGTCACCCCGTGGTGCCCTTATAAAACTCAACGTTTAACCTACTCACGCCGGCTTGTGCCCGCCCTCACAGTCGGGCATATTTGCGGAATACACCACGCCGCCGTTGACCCTGGCCATTGACCGAGCAACCCAACGTTCCTACCAGCTCCCTCCGCAGGAATGTGTTAGGCGGCAGGGGACTATGTGGTGGTCAACAGGGCAGTGCGGCAAATACATTCCGCTGTACTCCACTTGAACGTCTGCTGTTCGGTCTCGGCCTCGCTCAGCCACACCGATCGGCGCGGTGAAGTATGGTCAAATAACGACGCGGGGGAGGCCCTCATCCAGCAGTGGATTGACATGCACAGAATGTATAAATGACGTGAATAACAGTCCGGTGCTTGTGGAATGTACGGCCGCTTTAGAGCTCCACCGGAGCTGTACAATTGTCAATCAATACCGAACCACCGCAATGTGGCTGCGACAAGCCGTGATGTCAACACCTGCGATTAGCACGGTCGGGCTAGGTACGGTGCGAAAGAAGTTTAACGCAGGTACATAACGTGCACACATCGCGTGTACGTTCCCATTGGTACCAGCAGAGGGCGCAATACGTCCATGAAGGGAATGATAGGCCGGATATCTCGGGAGGCAATTCGGGCTGCGAGGTTACCACTCGTTCCTGGCTTCCACGAAGATCGCCCTCTCTTTCAGGTAGCCATCCTAGAAAAGTCTGCGAATTCTTCCCAGAGACATTAAAAGTGACGGATTGTTTTTCGTTGTGGAGTAACGCACGACTCAAGACAATGCTTGTACACGTATCCATCCCCTCCCTTCTCGCTTAACGGTGTTATTATTCTACTTTTCATGACACGTCCTGGTGTTCATTTTTGTACCTCAGAGGTTGAATGGCCGTGTCAGAGACTAAGGCAATTTACCACCGAGAATATGGGTTCGTTTTTTTGTTGTTGCCCACGATGAAGCCGAATTCTCAAATCGAATTAGTTGATGGCCGCCACAGTTAGATCACCAAAGACTGGACTGAAAAAAAACCCAACATGAAATTAAGGGTTCAACTAATTGTGCCTCATATCAATCGCCACTGATGGCCCGAAAACGAATTCTGGTAGCTGGGCCCAGGACACGGTGCGCTAATCGTTGCGCCACCACTCCATTCTAAATGCACCTCCTTAAAATTTTACTTAAATAAATACAGGCATGACGGAATATAACTGGTTCGTACAGTTCACGATTCTCTTTAAATAATGAACCATTGCTAAGGTTGTGAAATGTGATTAAAATAGTTTATTTTTTTACGCACAAAAAAAACATGCTTGTGGATTGTAATATTGTAAACGAGTCACAAAAATATGTAAGCAATATCAAAGGCAATAAAGCTAAGTACAGTTACCTGGATTCTCAGAGCTGTTTAAGAGTTCCACTTCAACCAAAATGTTTTCATTTGTTCAATCCACCCATTACCAACCATTCACACCCCGCTCTGGCTAAACAACACAATGTGTGGAATTGGCAAGGAAATATTCCGTGAATTATACCGTACAGTGTTGACAAAAATTGTATTTCTAAGCCAAACACTGGCGGTCCAGGCGTATAATATAATATAGCATAACAGCTCTTTCCGATATGTGAATATCGGTGAGAAATACTGTCATTTTACTTCATTTGTACCACAGCAGGACAGGGCGGCCCTTGACATTCAAGCATTTGGATGAACGCAACACCGTTACCACCGTGTCTACGCATTGCTCCCTCTCGTTCCAGTTGGACCCCTTTGTTACACGGCTGTCTGCAGTTGGTCCATTAACAATAAAGGCGTTCACGTGGAGGGAATGTACGTTTAAATGGAACACCTAAAAAATTAACCCGTAAAAACAAAGTTTTTCACTATAAATCCTTTATATGCGTGGCGGCTAGAGTCCTCTCGTCCTCTGGCTTGAGATGGCTGCCACCTATGGGTCAGATGATTGCCTGCCACCATTAAGCAATTGGTAATTAAATATAATTTTTTTTTCCTAAAAAGTGTAAAATTTTTGGAAAAAAATTTCACGAAAATAAATTGTCACGCACAACGAGTCTGTGTGGAAAATGTCAGCTCGATTGGATCACGGGAAGTGGGTTAAAAACGACCGAAAGATTTGCACGGTCGTAAGCGCGCAAGCAAGCAAGCAAGCGAACTTAATATAAAGGATTTAAAAAGACTTGCCCGTACGGAAAGATGGACCGCACCTTAGCGAAGGAAGACAGATGTTAAATTTCGATTTAAAGCTTTCGTGACTGCAGGGATTCATCTTTTTGGTTCTTTCGGTAAAGTCACGTAGAAGGGAAATAATAAAATAATAAAAATAAAACATAATAAAATTATTCTCACGACGTTTCGGCTACAACGCAAGCAGCCGTCACCTGAAGACGGCTGCTTGCGTTGTAGCCGAAACGTCGTGATAATTATTTATTGTTTTATTTTTATTATTTTATTACTTCCCTTCTACGTGACTTTACCGAAAGAAGAAGAGAGATGTTGTTTCATGGGCCGCAGAATCACTCCGTTGATAGCCACTTGTGTTAACACATCGCGTTTAGACTGTTGAATAACAAAAAGGATTTTGCTCGTGCACATTCTAAAACATTGAGACTTTCAAATCGTAAATCGATCAAACAATTCACGCATTAATTTATCTCTTCCTATTTGGAGAGTTTCCATTTATATTCGTGAGCCAGCTGTATCATAACTTGTATGAAAAATAACTATTCCAGGCCATACATTAACCTTTAGAAATGTCCATTATTTTTTGCAAGTCGTGAAGACATCGCCATTTGACTGCTAAATTACATGTGTATCTTTCAAGAAATTGTTTTAAGTTAAAAAGGAAAAGAGAAATATAAACAGGTTTTGATTGGTCCAATGCAAAGCAAGCAATGGGTGGTCACATCTCAAGATAACTTTTAACCAGATACACGTTTCTGCAGCAACATACACAAATAAGTTGCAGGTTTTAATCACTGAAATGTCATATAACAGAGGATAATAGGATCGCTTTAATTAATGCATAAATACAAGAAGAAAAATACAGTACATTAAATATTTTTTTGATAACTGGAATGTCGGTAACTCGAGTTCTAATGTATATTAACTATTGAATGTTCTAATCAAGCTCAGATGCTGATGTAATGTGCTGCACGGACACCATCAAACACACTGCATCCTGTGTCTGCTTAAAGAAGCTGTCCACAAGAGGGCACCACTGTGTGCGGGTGTCATGAAAGATCTGGACAATGAAGTCATTTTCAAATACTTCAGAATCAATCATAAAGTGATGAATAAAATGGTGAAATTAACAAGCATGCTGTTTCAGATGCTTTTGACACATAGACTTTCACGACCCATATTCATAATAAAGGGGATCCCCCCCCCCAACAAGCATTAATAAAGGTACAATATATAAAATTGGTGTGTGATCTGCTTCAAGAAGGGATTTTCATAGAAATTTGCCATCGAAGTCTGTGTTTACATGAAGTGTGGGGGAGAGAGAGGTTGAGTGGGTCCCTCTCCCTTGCATTCATAAGATATCAGTCGATGACGTTCCAGAGGGCATCCAGAGGTGTCTGGAGGCGAGAGACACGTGTTGGCTGGCAACCTGCCTTCACATCTGGTAGGAAAATCACTTCTGCAGTACAAACTGCTCAATGAACTCATTCTGTTCGGCCTCCACCTTAAGAAGAGCTTCGTACTGGATGCGGTATCTGTGGCGAAAGCGGTGGCGGTGCGGAAGCGAGAGGACATGAACAAGAGGTTAGCGGTGGACAAGACAAGACTGACCCGTGCAAGTGAATTAATCGCTCGTACATCTGCACGGGCAAACTGCATCAGAACCATCGCATGGCAGGCCATTTACTGGTAGTAATTTAGATATTTAATGAGGCTACTCCTGAAACCATCCACGAATCACAAACTTCAACATACGAGCATAGAAACACTGCTGAATGACTCTTCGCTATACAAAAGCAAAAGACTTGGCATCAAAACCTCAAAATTAAGAAGATCACATTGCAAGACCAAATGTACTTATTTTTCTACAAAGTGAAAAATCAACAGGGTTGAGATGGTTTGTCAATTCTTTCTCTTCTTTGCTGTTTCGTGTCGAACTTTTTATACTGAATCTGGGTTGAAGTTTGTTACACAATAGTATTCTTCTTTCTGTAATGAGAAACACATTCCTGCGGAGCGAGCTGGTAGGAACGTTGGGTTGCTCGGTCAATGGCCAGGGTCAACGGCGGCGTGGTGTATTCCGCATATATGCCCGACTGTGAGGGCGGGCACAAGCCGGCGTGAGTAGGTTAAACGTTGAGTTTTATAAGGGCACCACGGGGTAACCAGCCCCTCCCCACCCAGCCCCACCCCCCACCCAGCCCCTCTCCACCCAGCCCCTCCCCACCCAGCCGCTCCCCACCCAGCCCCTCCTCACCCAGCCCCTCCCCACCCTGCCCCTCCCCACCCAGCCCCACCCTCCCCACCCAGCCCCTCCCTGCACGACGGACAGACACAATAATCCCCTGTGGGCTGGTGGAACCAGTGGGTTCCTACCAGTATAACAGTGCCAATGTATGTATGTGCCCTGCAACACTTAGTAAAAAGCATAGCTGTTACATGTTAAATATTTACATATGTAGTAGGCTTTTAACCATTCACCCTCATTCACCCCCACAATTCAATTGCCACGACTTTGGGCGACAGTTTTATTCCAGCATGAATAATGTCTTGTACAGATTGTCCTCTTATCATATGTGCCATTTGCCCAGTTTGTCTTGTACAGACCATTATCCTGACGGCTAAACTAGCACACAAATAAAATAACAAAAACCCATCCACAAGCGGTTCAATGCACGTTTCATTCAACACAATAATCTACTTGACATTGAATCGACACAGAGACGCTTGGTTCACAGCCCGAGACACGTGGGCAGGAATCCCAGGGCCGCGTGCGCTCACCTCTCCAGCTGGACGTGTTTCTCGGCGATGAGCGCCTGCAGCTGCTGTTGCTGCGCTTCTCGCTGCTTGGCCACTGACTGGAGCTGGTTCCGTGCACCAATCGCCTGCGAGCAAAAGTAACCACAGCCCTCCGTGTCATTTGTTCAACGTTAACCGTGAATTTCCCCAGTGATTAGTCCAGTGCAAGGGGGGAATTTTTTTTTTTAATACCGGTTTTAAGCACACACCAGGGCAATAAACTTCGTGGAGAAAATGTGCGATGATCAGGGCAGTGTATTTGCTCCCATTAGTGCTTCTGTACATCGTGGGCATAAAGGCAAACTACATCTGGTGATGTTGACACTTAAAAAAAACACTGCCAATGAAGGAGAGTGGAAACTACCTCAACCATCCTTCCCTAATGTATGGCTTCACGGCTCCTAGTGTGGAGTGTGGTGCTGTGTGGAGGCGAAGGGGGGATTAGAGTCGGATCAGACGTTATGGATCTGGGCGGTGATGCCGCACGTCTGAAATCCAGCACTGTGGAGGCAGCGAGGGTTGGTGGATGAGACCAATGACAAAACGTTTTGCGAGACTCCCTTCCCGTGTGCATCGAGATGCAATGCCCTGGCCTGCCAGCAGAATGCAGTACACTAAAGTGTGGACTGATATCATGTCCCGTCTGTATGGGATACAGTGTTGCCCCCTCGCATGGGTCGGTTTTTAGTGGGTGCTCCAGTTTCCTCCCACATGTAAATATATTAATGTAAAGAGAACAACAGAGCAATTATTGGCACCAGCTTGTCTGTGGTTCCTTAGCGAATGTGAGATGCAATTTGCATGAACGACGCTGAATAAAATTAATCGTTAAAGATCTTTTCTTGGAAGCTTGATCTATGGTTCTGCCGCCCTTAGGCAAATATGTTGCGAGAAAGTGCTTCAATGTAGATGACCAAAGATATTACATTGTCATGCTACTTATACAGAAAGTATACAATGATTTGACACCTGGCACCTGTGGAGATGACAAAGAGAAAGCTTTTTTTTATATTAATCTATGAACAGTTTCTACCAAAAAGAATCCAGTCATTTTAATTAAAACAGCTCTAGGTACAAGTTGGCAGCTGACAAAAAGAATGTTCATGTCATTGTAGTGTTCCACAATGCTGCTGTCTGCAGCATGTCCCTTTCATTGGAGTTAATGAAGCGCAAATCATCACAAGCTTAGAAATAACCCTCAGAAGAGAAAAAAACCAAACTGTTCTGTACCTTCATTATCTCTTTCTCAACCTCCTTGGCCAGCTGATCCACCATGTCAATGAGTCCACCCACCACTCCCTGAAACTCCGCAATCTCTGCCACGACAATCAACAAGAGACACACACACAAAAGACAAAGATCCCCCGTATAGCATTAACAGACTTTAGGGGCAAGTGCTGTTAGCGAGCGCCTATCAAGGCCGCACGGCACGCGAAGGGGTGGGTTGCCAACACCACGCCCAGCCGCCTTTGTCTCCCTAGTGGCGATGTTTGCACACCGCACCAGGTACTCATTTGAGGCTGAGTCGACCTAGGGGAGGCCCAAGACCTGTTTAGATAATCGTCACTGGTGTTGGCCGTGAGCAGGAATCGAACTCGGGGCGCCGGGTTTGTACTGCAGCACGCTAACCACTACACTACCTTAATTGCGCTCCTTAACTGCATCTTTTGCCGAGTGAATCTCTTTGCTTGAGATGAGCAGTGGGCGATATTGAGCCAGCGATGGAAATACTTCATGTGTCTCTCCAGTGGCTGGCCACTGTTGCGATTCTAAAAAACGGTGCCCAATGTTATGCACGCAGGAGGGATGATGGGTTAAGTTGTAATTTTTTGATGTGCACAATAGGACTACAATTAAGGGTAGTCTTATAATTATGATTTCACAAGGCAGAATTTACATTATTCTGTTAATTATTCCTCCTGTTTACATCAAGGACGTTATTTCCATAATGGGATGCGACACTTTTTCATTATCTTCTTGGTTCTTTCGGTAAAGTCACGTAGAAGGGAAGTAATAAAATAATAATAATATTTTTATTATTTTATTACTTCCCTTCTACGTGACTTTACCGAAAGAACCAAGAAGATGAATCCCTGCAGTCACGAAAGCTTTAAATCGGAACTTTTTCATTAACCATCTATGGACATCGTAAGATTTAAAAATATATATTTTCAAGGCCTCTATAATTAAAGCTGTAAACAACCAAAATGGATATCGTAAAATATGGCTTTCACAGCTGGCGCACACACATAGACTGCCACCTTTAAAACACATCTTCTAATTTCTGCCACTTATTAAGCACATAATGTATCATGGAAAGCAAACAGTCTTGCCAAAGGCAATGGTGCAAAAGGCCAATAAAATACCCTGGCAGCTGTGTGTGCCATAAACATGTGCACACATATGCATTTTATGTCAATCTTTAACAAAAAAATCTATTTGGTTTCCCAAAGCTGGGACTCTGAGCATCTGTGATTATAACACTGAACCTTCGAAAACTGCTACACAATTTGGATTTATGAGGCAGATAAATACAACCACATCCCAAGACTATGTACAAAGCATGGAGAGAACATGGGCGAAAACGGGTGTATGTTTTAGCGGAGGGAGTAAACGGGTAAGAGAGTGAAGAAGCCAGCCTATAATAATATAATAATTGTAATTTATAATGCGCATTCCATCCTAGGATCCCAATGCACAATGCATGGAAAGCTGGAAACAAAAACAGAACCAGGGGCAACCGACCAAACTAAAGAGGGAAGGCCACTTTAAAGAGATGGGTTTTCAAAGCAGACAGCATGGCTCCATATTATTTAGGACATTGCTTAGTTAAACACGTAGGCTTTTGCGACCAATATCATCCATAATAGAGTTTTTTCGTAATTATAATATACTGTATATTCGGGGGGGATGCGGGGGGCATCCCCCCCCCCCATATTCAAATATGCTTTAAAATGTCCCCCCCCCCCCAATACATTGCTATGAAATAGATTTCTGTTTATATGATTGTGGTTATGGGTGTACTATATTAATCCCTAATCTCTGCCATTACATACAATGAATTAAGAAAAAGTAAAAAAAAGAACAAACAGAGCGATGTAAATACAATACACTATTAGACATTGTAAAACATAAATAAAAAGTCCATCCCATGTGTTAGTGAATTTTATAATATTTTAGGCAGGAAATTTGTTTTCAAATTTAATTAGTTTTTTCTGGGGGGGGGGATCCCCTGGAAAATTTGCCCCCCCCCCCCCAATAGACACCATGGCTACGGCCTTGCCTGGAAGGAAGAGTAGGCCAAGCTCACCTCTTACAGGTGAGCTTGGCCTTTCGCCGGCTGGAGCGTTAAGTCATTGCAGTGCTGCAACTTTAACTTTACATTGGTAATAATCTTGATTTGAAGCTTACGTACATTAAACATCGGCGAGGTTTCGGGAACTCGTCCTTCTGCTACGAAGGGCTTATGGCCCGAAACGTTATTTGTTGTTGTTGTAAAGCAAAACGCTTCCAATGAAACAAAAAAAGGGCCAATGCCCGAAACGTCGGCGATAGTGTGACCGAGAATGTTGTTGAGTTGTCTAAGGACATAGATGCAGCAAGGAGGGGCCGCCGCCTCATCATCATTCTCATCATCATCCTCATCATTCTTATCATCATTCTCATCATCATCATCATCCTCATCATCATCCTCCTCATCATCTTCATCATCATTATCATCATCATCATCTTCATCCTCACCCTCATCATCCTCATCATTCTTATCATCATTCTCATCATCTTCATCATCCTCATCATCATCCTCCTCATCATCTTCATCATCATTATCCTCCTCATCATCTTCATCCTCACCCTCATCATCCTCATCATCATCATTCTCATCATCATTCTCATCCTCCTCATCATCATCCTCATCATCATCCTCATCATCTTCATCATCCTCCTCATCCTCATCATCATCCTCCTCATCCTCATCATCATCCTCATCACCATCATCATCATCCTCATCATTCTCATCATCCTCATCCTCATCATTCTCATCATCATCCTCATCATCATCATCCTCATCATCCTCATCATCCTCATCATCCTCATCATCCTCATCATCCTCATCATCCTCCTCCATCATCCTCCATCATCCTCATCATCCCCCTCCTCCTCCCCCTCCTCACTCTGCACGAACTCTTTGCACTCCTCGCGTAGCTCGCCCGTCTGTTGCGCCGCCTCGGGCTCCAGCAGCCGCAGCTTGCTCAGCTCGTCGAAGTGGAGGCCCGACTTGGCCAGCACCTCGTCACCCATCGCGCCCTCCTCCTCTTCCTCCTCCTCCTCTTCCTCCTTCTCCTCCCTTCTCCTCTGCCCTCTTCTCCTCGTCTCCCTCCTAGAATCCTCTCCGCAACCACCACTGGTCCTCCTTCCCTCGTTCTCCTCTCGTCGTCACGTCTTCTTCTCCGCCTCTTGTTCCTCCTCTTTCGTTCTCCTCCTCCTTTCGTTCACCTCTTCTCCCCCCCTCCTCCTTTCACCTCTTCTCCCCCCTCCTCCTCTCGTTCACCTCTTCTCGCCCCTCCCCCCCCTTTCGTTCACCTCTTCTCCCTCCTCCCCCCTCCTCCTTTCGTTCACCTCTTCTCCCCCCTCCCCCCTCCTCCTTTCGTTCACCTCTTCTCCCCCCTCCCCCCTCCTCCTTTCGTTCACCTCTTCTCGCCCCCCCCCCCCCTCCCCTCCCCCTTTCGTTCACCTCTTCTCCCCCCTCCCCCCTCCTCCTTTCGTTCACCTCTTCTCCCCCCTCCCCCCTCCTCCTTTCGTTCACCTCTTCTCGCCCCCCCCTCCTTTCGTTCACCTCTTCTCGCCCCCCCCCCCTCCCCCTTTCGTTCACCTCTTCTCCCCCCTCCCCCTCTCCCTCTCTCCTCTTCTTCGTTCCCCTCGGGAGCTTCTCCGCTGGAGTCAAACTCACACGACTCCTAAGCAACGGGCACGACGCCGCTTTGGATTTGGTAGCGCGGTTAAGCGGCCCGTGGCGCCCGGCCCCGCCCCCCGCTGCGCTTATCCGCTGTGTGGAATGCAATGCGCGCATGACGTCACCAAGTCGCCGTGCACCCGCCACGCGGACTGTGCCACTTTGAGGGGTCAACAACAAAGTCCGGGTCTTACGTCGTGGGCTTTCGGTGCTTTTATAGCTCGCGCTATATTTAATACGCGTTATAAATAAGCTTAAATATGTATTTAAAGAATAACATAACGACTGCGAATTCATAGCTATTCGTAAATAACAAATAAAATGTGAAAGCACCCCCGCGTTGAAATGGTTCTGCCCCGGGCGAGACAACCGTGGGGGGGGGGGGGGGGGGGGAGTTGTGGGCGGGTGTCGCCTTGGTCACGTGGTCACGGTCGGGGGCAGCGCGTGGTGAGGGTGACGTCACAGTCGAGGGTCGGCTTGGCGGCCATGTTGGTAGAGGGAAGCACGTGGATATTTAGACTGGAGGAATCCGATGAGCTCTGAAGCTCTTTTTAAACAGATGTGAAGCCGGAACGTTACAACAAACAGTACAAAACACACGATAGGAGTGCAAAGTACAGGAAAAGTAAACAAATCACTCAAAAAACAGAGCCACATATTCACCCTGTAGGAATACAAACACGTGTAACATCAACATGCATCTGGCTGAAGATTTGCCACGACGGATCATGTTGTCCTCCTGTATAGCCAAATGTTTATTAGCTCATTAGATGTTTCAATCTATTACTAAAGGCTTTGTTACTGTATAGCGCACTATGAGATACACATTCACATGCCAATAAAAACTGATCAGATTTTTTTAAAACGAATTCTCATCGCGTCTCCAATCCGCTTTAACTTTATCTTTCTGGCTTATTTATTTTGTGTGCTGTTTTAGGTTTGTTTTCATTTGTTACACGGATGACCCCGTTTAGCAAGTTTCCCTGCTATAATTACGTCAACACTACAGAGAACGAGTACAGGATCCTTTATGAATATTACACAACAGATTGGAGATGCCCTAACTTGTTGACGTACAGAGAAAACGGAATCAGAATTTGTATTTAATACTGGAGAAATCCGATAAACTATGAAGCTCTTCTCACAGATGTCCAGTAGGGGCATCTCAGAACGTTAGAACAACAAACAGTACAACTCTCTTAACCACGTGGGTCCTATACTGATGACAATACTATATTCTATAAAAAAAAAAAGTATTTTTTTACATTAATTTGTATATGTTATGTTTCGCCTTGGGTATAATTGTCCACGCTCAACTCACGTTGGCTGCAAATCACCACTCGTACGGTACATTTCATTAAAGCGTGTTTAAAAAAATAATGTTTTTATATTTTTTTTGATGGTGACAATTTGAAATCGGTCGGATATGGAGTTGCAAATCCAGTTAATTGCAAGATCTGACATTTTAGGCATTTTAGCCTTCGCAACATTACACCATGATCCAGAGGTGTGGACTCGAGTCATGTGACTTGGACTCGAGTCAGACTCGAGTCATGAATTTGATGACTTCAGACTCGACTTGGACTTGCATAACAATGACTTTGTCCCACCTCTGAGGTGTGGACTCGAGTCATGTGACTTGGACTCGAGTCAGACTCGAGTCATGAATTTGATGACTTCAGACTCGACTTGGACTTGCATAACAATGACTTTGTCCCACCTCTGCCATGATCCAGTCTCAAATGCTTCAGACAAGTCGAGGAATACGATAGCACGAGATTGAAGACCGCTGAAAATAAAATCAAGAGTACATTCAGCGGTTGTGCTACACAGTATAAGGGACGTTGATGGAAAGGTTACCTAAGGGGCCGTCCATAAATGACGTCACGGCCATGGGGGGGGGGGGGTCAGACATTTGTGACGATGTGACAAGGGGGGGGGGTTGAGAAATGTGACATCACATCAAAATGCGCAACTTTAAATATAGACAACACGTTCTACTTAATTAAATACTTTTTAATGAATGTTTTCTCCTACATCAGAGTGCAGCACCACATTAAATACGCACTACAATGACAATAGTTTAAAGAGATTTGAAGCATGTTTTATTTTGGGGGGGGGGCAGAGCTTTGTGACGTCATATTTGAGGGGGGGTCTGACTTTTTGTGACGTCGTGTGACGAAGGGGGGGGGGGTCAAAAATCGTCCAAAATCGCGTGACGTCATTTATGGACGGCCCCTAAACGTGTACCCCAAACATCGTTAAATCAATGTACGATGATTCGTTTTACCGTTACGTATTAATTGGCTTTTTCCGATTTCATTCTCGTTAGGTTTTTTTAAATTACATTTTCCCATCTCTAAATTACATCGCTTCCCTCGCAATATGCGCGTTCCTGAAAAAGTGCGTAAGTCGAATCGCGCGCGCTGTATGAAGCATATTTTCCCATCGATGTGATAAGGGGAGGGGGGGGATACGTTACTTAATATTTACAAAGTATAAATTTAACACGATTATTAACATTACAAAAATACTTAGTAGCATCAGCAAGCAGGAGCATCAGCAAGCAACAGTAGCATCAGCAAGCAGTAGCATCAGCAAGCAGTAGCATTAGCAAGAAACAGTAGCATCAGCAAAAAACAGTAGCATCAGCAAGCAGTAGTATTAGCAAGAAACAGTAGCATCAGCAAGCAGTAGTATTAGCAAGAAACAGTAGCATCAGCAAGCAGCATCAGCAATCAACAGTAGCATCAGCAAGCAGTAGTTTTAGCAAGAAACAGTAGCATCAGCAAGCAGTAGTATTAGCAAAAAACAGTAGCATCAGCAAGCAGTAGTATTAGCAAGAAACAGTAGCATCAGCAAGCAGTAGCATCAGCAATCAACAGTAGCATCAGCAAGCAGAATCATCATTAAGCAGCAACAGCAAGCAGTAGCTAGCATCAGCAATCAACAGTAGCATCAGCAAGTAGCATCAGCAAGCGGTATCAGCATCAGCAAGCAGTAGTATCAACAAGCAGCAGCAGTAAGCGGCAGCAGCATCAGCAAGCAGCAACAGTAGCATCAGCAAGCAGTAGCATCAGCAAGCAGTAGCAGCATCAGCAAGCAGTAGCATCAGCAAGCAGTAGAATCAGCAAGCAGCAACAGTAGCATCAGCAAGCAGAATCAGCAAGCAGCAACAGTAGCATCAGCAAGCAGCATCAGCAAGCAGCAGCAGTAGCATCAGCAATCAACAGTAGCAGCAGCATCAGCATGCAGCATCAGCAAACATCAGCAAGCAGCAACAGCAAGCGGCAGCAGCATCAGCAAGCAGCAACAGCAAGCATCAGCATCAACAAACAGTAGCATCAGCAAGCAATAGCATCAGCAAGCAATAGCATCAGCAAGCGGCAGCAGCATCAGCAAAGCAGCAGAGGCATCAGCAAGCAGCAGCGGCAGCAGCATCAGCAAGCAGCAACAGTAACATCAGCAATCAACAGTAGCATCAGCATCAGCAAGCAGCATCAGCAGCATCAGCGTCTGTTCGCTCTCCCTGAGCAAGATGGTGGCGCGATCGCACACACCCCCACCCACAACAACAACCACCACCGCCGCCATTCGTCACTCATTGCGGTGACGTCACCACGACGCTTGTGCCAGGCTAGGTGCACCTCGAGGCCACACACCCACTTCCGGGTGTCCCCCCCCCACACTCCTCCCCCTACCACCCCGGGCCTCTCCTCGCTCGCTGTCTCCGCTCAAGGGCCAAGCCGCTCGCTTCCTCCGCAACAACAACAACCACAACCACCACAACAACAACAACCACAACAACAACAACCACAACAACAACTCCTCGCGCGCCATGGTCGCCTAACAATTGCGCTGTTCACGGGCATCTCGGCCGCCTTGTCCGTCCGTCCCCGCGGTGGCCGAGGCGTACAGACTCGTCATCTTCCTGCGCAGCGCCGTCAAGGCGTCGGCCCCCCCATCGGCCCCCCCATCGGCGCCCCCCTCGGCGGCCCCCCCGTGCCCCCCGAGCCTCATGTCAGGGGACCCGGCCTTGGCCGCGGCTGCGGCGGCGGCAACAACATCATCGGCAACAGCATCGGCGTCGTCGTCTCCTCCTCCGGCGTCGACTGCTGCGGTTGCGGCGGTCGTGGTGGCCTCGGGAGGGCCGGGTGGCCCCGCGCTCGTGCCGGTGTCGCTGCCATCCGGGGGGGCCCTGGCCCCCCACTTGCCCCCCATGCAGCAGCAGCAGCAGGCCGTGGTGGCGATGTCCGCACAGGGTCCTGGCCACACGCCGGTCGGGCCCTTGTCTGTGTCGGTGCCGCCGATGGCCGCGGGCACCGCGCATGGTGCCAGCGGGCGGGCGGTGTCGTTCAAGGGCGTGAGCCCCAGCAGCAAGTACGTGAAGCTGAACGTGGGCGGAGCGCTCTTCTACACCACCATGCAGACGCTCACCAAGCAGGACACCATGCTCAAGGCCATGTTCAGCGGGCGCATGGAGGTGCTGACGGACAGCGAAGGTGGGTGGTGGGCTGGGGTGGTGTGGTTGGTGGTGGGCTGGGGGTGGGGTGGTGTGGTGGTGGTTGGGGTGGTGGGTGGTGTGGGTGGTGGGTGGTGGTAGTGGTGGGTGGTTGTGTGGTGTGGGTGGTGGTGGTGAGTGGGTGGGTGGGTGGTTGGTGGTGGTGGGTGGTGTGGTGGTTGGTGTGGTGGGTGGTTGTGGTATGGTGGTGGTGTTGGTGATTGGTGTGGTGTGGTTGGTATGGTGGGTGGTTGTGGTTGGTGTGTTGGTGGTAGTGGTGATTGGTGTGGTGGTGGTTGGTGTGGTGGTGATGTGGGTGGTGTGGTGGGTGGTTGTGGTATGGTGATGGTGGTTGTGGTTGGTGTGGTTGGGGTGGTGGGTGGTTGTGGTTTGTGTGGTAGGTGGTTGGTGGTGGTGGTGGGTGGTGTGGATGGGTGGTTATGGTATGGTTGTGGTGGTGGGTGGTTGTGGTATGGTGGTGGTGTTGGTGATTGGTGTGGTGTGGTGGGTGGTTGTGGTTGGTGTGGTGGTGGTAGTGGTGGTTGGTGTGGTAGTGATGTGGGTGGTGTGGTGACGGTAGTGGTGTTATCAAGAGCACTGCTTTGGAAGATTTGTCGTGGTTCAAAGCCACCTGTTGGGTCCATTTCAGGGCCTCCAGTGATTCAATCCATGTCAGGTGCTTGCCCTTTGTACACCGTGCAACGATTGTCACTCTTTTTAGAGTTTCGTGAGCTGCAATTTAGTTTAAAAAATTCAACATTTACCATGGTTCGGTTTTCATGTTCATCTCCTGGTGACCCAGACAGTTCATTTATCATCTCACCACACCGAAAGTCTAAACCATGGATGGCTGCCACCTGGATTCCTACCCAGAATCTCGGCAGTGCCGGCTCCGTGCCCTCCTACGCAGTATTTGTCGCCTTGGCTGTTACTGACACTGGGGGGAGGGGGACCCTTAGTCACATTGTACACTATGTAACACGATTTTTGTTCCTGGGTAACAAGTGTTATTTTCTAATTGCTTATGCCTCAAAAGTGTAGAAAATAGCTGTTATTCCCCACAAACTTTGCTTTTGTGACCAGGACTTTACGTGAAGGAATGACACAAATGCACGTTTTCTCATTGAAAATAGGTACATTTCAAAATATCACTGTCCTGGTCACAAAAGCAAAGTTTGTGGGGAATAATAGCCATTTTCTATACTTTTGAGGCCATAAGAAATTAGAAAAAATACTTGCTACCCAGGAACACATTTTTTTTGTTACACAGTGAATTATCAGCGTCAAACCTCATGAATTGAATCTTGATGTGAAGCTTTCGTGACTGCAGGAATCCATATTCTTTGGCTCTTTCGGTAAAGTCACGTAGGTAGAAAATAAAATAAATCACGACGTTTCGGGCGCACCACGTGACTTTACCTAAAGGACCACAGAATACTAATGAATTGAGTTACTCTGGGAGAAGATATTTCGAGGTCCTAGCCGTCCAGTGTGCACCCTACGAGATATGGTGGTGTCGGCAGCATGTGTTTGATGACCCGCCTCCACAATCGCATCAACAACAAAAAATTAACCCGTAAAAACAAAGTTTTTCACTATAAATCCTTTATATGCGTGGCGGCTAGAGTCCTCTCGTCCTCTGGCTTGAGATGGCTGCCACCTATGGGTCAGATGATTGCCTGCCACCATTAAGCAATTGGTAATTAAATATAAACAAAATTTACCTAAGAAGTGTAACATTTTGGAAAAAAAAATTCACGAAAAAAAATTGTCACGCACAACGAGTCTGTGCGCAAAATGTCAGCTCGATTGGATCACGGGAAGTGGGTTTAAAAACGACCGAAAGATTTGCACGGTCGTAAGCGCGCAAGCAAGTGAACTTAATATAAAGGATTAAAAAAGAGAGCCGGCTCTGAATGGATGCACGTGGCACAAGAGCTACGATTGCCAACAACGTCATCCGATCAAAAACCCAGTCATTTGTTCAAATTGGCACCCAAAGCCGTCTTGGGCAATCCCCAAGCTGATTTTTTTAATCGGAGAGAGAGCAGCAGCAAGTTGAGTCTCAACAATTGTTCTGTCACAGGTAAATATAGCTACACGCGGACTGCGGCGATTGCAAAGTTGGTGCGATGAACGTCAAAATAAAATGTTGTGCCTGCACATGGACCCAAACTCTTAGCGGGGCGGGCGGTGGGGGTGTTGCACACCCTGCACCACAACTCCTAGCGACCTCCGTTCGATTTCCCTTGACACCGGATTACAGGCACGTCACGTGGAGATGGCGTAACCCAAGGGTGTCCCGTCACAAGCGGCGCACAAAGCGGTCATTTAGAGCATCGTAATCTTCTGGAGCCGATAATCCAATAACCCCAAATGGGTCCGATCTTGTCAAATTTCGGAAGGCTAAGCAGGGTTTCAGTCTGGCTAGTGCATTGATGGGTGACCACACGCTTACAACGGACGTAATATAGGCTGATGCGAGGGCGCTTTGTGGGCAACAGGTTGCAATGCAGTAGCATCCTTCGTTGTACTGTGCTATGTTGTCAGGTCTGTGTTCCCTGCCTTCACCAACCCACAGTGACCCAAGTGGTGACGTATGGGTCAAATAACCCCCACAACCGCACGCTGCAAGGAGGCCCTCATCTAGCAGTGGATTAACACAGGGTAGTTATTGTTTAGATGTTTCATTGTTGTAATGCGATGGTGCTTTTAGTTTGGCGGTTTATTCGGATGTGCGTTTGATCGTGGCAGTTGTGACAATTGCCATCTTAGCCACGATGGGCTACACATATACCGTATTTTCCGGTTCATGACATGCACCCTTTGCCCTTGTTTTTTTTTATAACCAAAAGTTGGGGGCGATTCTTATAGTCTGGGAGGTGTGTGACCAGAATTGTACAATTTTATTGACACTGGGCACACGGTTTGGAATGCGCCCTTACATTCCGGAGCGTCCCAAGGTACAGCTTTGGAAGAAAAGAAAAAATTACCACCACATCCAGACTCGTGTTCCTTCTGCGCACCGCCAAGATTGCCCGTCAGCCACGTGCCGCTTCACGCAACGAGCCGCCTTTGTCGGGTACCCCGTGTTCACACGAGCGCACCGTGCCTCTCTCCCACTCTCACCGCGATGCCGGCGAGCAGGCTGGATCCTGATCGACCGCTGCGGAAAGCACTTTGGCACGATCCTCAACTTCCTGCGCGACGGCGCCGTGCCCCTGCCGGAGTCTCGCACCGAGATCGAGGAGCTGCTCACAGAGGCCAAGTACTACCTGGTGCAGGGCCTGGGACAGCAGTGCCACGCCGCCCTGCAGGTATCATCGCGTCTCTCCGAGCGACTGGGAAACACGCGGACTGAGTGCCCGCGCGTGCGTGCGTGCGTCTCGCCGGGAGGGGCGGCCGCACGGTCCGTGACGCGCGTAGACTTGGACGGACCTGTGTTCTTCGAGGGGCGATTGTGTCCAAAGGCAAACCTACAACTCCACTTCGTATGCACTTCAATTAATATGGCAAAGCTGCAGGCCTGCGGTCGTGTCATTGTTATGGAAGAGGCCCCCACTAGAGGGAGTTCTTCAGATCCCTTCTGAAAGGGTAATGTTGGCCTACTCCTCCACGCTGGGCAGATGTGTTGCAATAAGTGGGAGAAACCCTGAATTGTCCCTACTGAGAGCACGGTGAGGAGTGAATCATTACATTCTTGCTAAGCACCAGTGCCACAGAGGCTTGTAGAGACTGGATGTCGGATACCAAGACAGAGATATGGAGCCGAGAGCTACCAACTCAGCATAGTTAGCGCACCCTAATACTAAGCCGTGTGGACCATGAGAAAGCCGCGTGGGTATGTACATATATTAAAGGCTGACTTAAATGCCCACGGTTGGCTACGTACGGTGCGAAAGAACTTGCACGTACGGGACGGTGAGCGCGAGCCGGTGAGGTGTTGGCGAAGACTGGAGACCACCACGCTCACTTGCGTCTCGTGTGATATCTCTTGGCGGTGAGCAGCAGAAGCGTGATGCCGTGGACCCCATTTGCCGTGTCCCCGTCATCACGTCCCTCAAGGAGGAGCAGAAGCTCATCACCACCTCCAACAAGGTGACCCTTTAAGCACACATTGTCACTTTAGAGTTTCAATCACATTCACTCCTGTCACTTGTGCTACGGGGAGATGCTCTTCCATGCTCGGTGCTACTGGGAATGGGGTTGCACATTTTGGAAGCTTTTGGTGTCCTGCTCTAATGAACGATGCTCATCTCCTGTTCCTACTCCTGAGCCACTGGTGACAAGTACACATTCTTCTAGCAGGGGACAACCGCTCTTGAATTAAAATGAAGTATTACTTTTTGTTTTTATCCATCTCGGAATTGTGGAGGACCGAATCGACTCTCCGACCAGGATTTGACCTCCGCAACCTTCCAATTACAATCCACCTGCTCTAACCGCTCAGGCGGGAGAGAGGATTTTCACGAGGCTTCTCTTCCATGTCTATTGTGTTGTCATGTTTTGCCTGACCCACACAAGGTGCTGTGAGGCTGTGGATGATTGGTCTTTGCTGCGACCTTTAAAACCTGATATATGGATACAGCAAGCACATGCAAACACCACTTCAGCAAAGTGTTTCTATTTAGTTTTGCCGAGATTGCCAACTCATTGGGCATTGGGAATCAATTAACCTCGTGCGAGAAATCCGGGTCTGACAATGGATTCTCCGGTCAATAGGTTTAATATTGTGAGTGCAAGTGTGCGTGTATGAAATTACCGTGTGTCAAGAGCCTCACGGGAGGAATTGTAATATCATACAGGCAACGTTTGGAAGGGATTATAATCTGCATTAATATTTGGCAGCATAATCCTGATTATCCATTTTCCCCCCACAGCCGGTGGTGAAGTTGCTGTACAATCGTAGCAACAATAAGTACTCCTATACCAGGTGAGCCTCTCGGTTTCGCACCTCCTCACTTTCGTTGCGCTCCGTTTACCGTCTCTCCCACTCTGTGCGTGGCAATGTGCGCCGCACGCCACCACGTGGCACACGCAGCACGCGGAGGCGGCACTGCGTGTGTCGCGCGCGCAACACGCTGTTGCTGCTGCAAATTAAATGCATCCGACGACGGAACCCACTGTTGGAGAGCGTTAGCGAATCGACACGTGATTATTTTTTTCCCTTGTTGATAGTAGGGGGAGGTTGTGTGCGAATCCACCACAAGCAGGCGCCATCTCCGCCCTCGCGCTGTGGCCCACCTCATTGTCGACCATTGACCGTGTTTTTTCCGCAGCAACTCCGACGACAACATGCTCAAGAACATCGAGCTGTTTGACAAGCTGTCGCTGCGCTTCAACGGGCGCGTGCTCTTCATCAAGGACGTCATCGGAGACGAGATCTGCTGCTGGTCGTTCTACGGGCAGGGCCGCAAGATTGCCGAAGTGTGCTGCACCTCCATCGTCTACGCCACGGAGAAGAAGCAGACCAAGGTGCGGCATGCCACGGCGGTTCTTCGTGGTGTCACAGTGTCGTCTAAGCCCAACACTATCACGAAACTACACCTGGGACAATGGGTCAATTAGGTCGGTCGACTAAAAATGTAAATCGACTCCTCTTTTGTGGTCCAATGCTTGGGCGCCCCTTAAAAATGGTGTCAGCCCACACATCCTGGCTCGCAAAGGCAGGGAACGCCCGTCAGCCGTGTCCAGCGTGACACGGCTGACGGGTGCCGATGGCTGTCGCATTGCGTCCAGCGGCACACGCCGGCGCAGAAGTGACACTTTCTTTTCCCAACCTGAAATGTGAGCCAATTAGTTGAATAACCTTAAGCGATAGATCGGCAGAGGCATTCGATTAATAATCGGATAACCCGGCTCTGGTCCGTACCCGTCGCTGCCGCAGCGACGCCTTGACCGGCCGCCGTCGCCGCCGCCGCGTTCCGCTCCGTGCGTGCGTCGCAGGTGGAGTTCCCGGAGGCGCGCATCTACGAGGAGACGCTGAACATCCTGCTGTACGAGCCGCGCGACGGCCTGGGGGGCCCCGACAAGGCGCTGCTAGAGGCGACGGGGGGCGCGGCGGGGCGCTCCCACGGGCCTCCCGACGAGGACGACGACCGCGACCGCATCGACCGCGTGCGGCGCATCCACGTCAAGCGGCTCGACGACCGCTCGCACCAGCACCAGTAGCGGTGCCCGCCTCACCACCCCCCCACCCCCCCCAGCTGTGGCCAAAGGCGTCGGTGAGGGTGCAGCGGTCGGGGGGGGGGGTGTCAGGAGGTGAACGGCACTGCGCATAAGACGGTTGTCGTCGTTGTTGTTGTCCTTCCCCCCCGCACCTCCGATTAGCTCGGTTGGCTACGTACAGTGCGAAAAAAGTTCAACATCCGCGCGCATACGTACGAGGTAGGATCGGGGGGTTGTGGGGGAAAGGAGGGGCGGGGTTGGTCTATGGCAGGCGTCGGTAACCAAAATAACAACAAGAGCCATTCTTTTTGAATGCGGTAAAAAAAACGATATTTCAAGAGCTGCACAATGCATGTAAATACGAGAGACGGTGGTCCATAATACATCACGTCACGAAGCGGTGAGTCCTGCCAACCCCTGGCTTGTGGGCACAAGAGCTATTTCCTCCGGTCATAGGGGCGCCTTCCGGTTCGCGCGTTACGCCGCCACGAGCTACGTCGCGGGCCAGGGGGTCAGTACGTGCGCACGGTACGTTGAACTTTGTTCGCCAACGTACGTAGCCGGACGGTGCTAATCGGAGGTGCGGAGCAGAGCGGCACACTTTGGTTGTAAGATGAACCGGGAAACCGACTTTGTTGACGGTTTGTGGTCCAAAACAAGACCGCCAGCAAGAGGGGGGGGGGGGGGGTGTTATGTAATACGCATCTGGTGTTCACATCCATTTCAAAGAAAATGTAAAAAAATAACAACTGGAAAGCGCCCGTCAGGTTTCTGTCCCTGGCTGTGCCTTTGGCTCCTAAGCGGTGTCATGAGAGCGGCACGTGAGGCGAGCCGACGATTCGATGTGTGACGAAGCGAGGCGGGGTTTGGGGGTGGAGGTAGAGAGATCGCTCGTTGCCACCAGAGTCGTTGAGCGCGATCGCTTGCGTTGGCACAGCACGGTTTGTATGGGAAGGTCGACCCATGGGCAATTGTAGGGACTCCGTTCTGATAAATCAAGGTCAGGAGTTGCAGTGTTCGAGCCCATCGTGCATGCGGCTAGTCACATGAATGCCAGTAGCCGTCGCGGTTACGGGAGTTAATCTTCCTCGCGGACATATCCCTTTTTTCTACCAGTTTGTTGTATTTATCTCATAATACACACGACAAAAATACATTTAGCAAGTCCATTGAAAAATGTAATCCAATTTTTCATTGAAAACGCCGTATTTTTCCTGATCACTTTTTTTACCTGCCCAACAATGCAAACAGGAGGTTGTTGCCAGTGGCCAAACATGTGGGTATAGTAGCCGGAACGTCATAGTGCAGAGACGTCCCTAGGGTCAGTTTGAAAGCTTGTCGTCATGCAGGGAAAAGTATTTGGAAAAGACGGACGGTTGCCGAGTCGGAAGCAACCACCACGACCCATCGCGGTTCTTCTCGCCGGTAGCTTCCCCCCTCCCCAAGAGAACACCACTCACACCTTAGAAGTCCCTCTCTGTCCTGCGTGTATGCAATGTCGTAGTTTCCAGTCTTGAGATTTCTTTTGTCAGTTAGCGGCCTGTTATCACCTATTTTGAGATGACGAATCGGCGTGGGACGATTGCGGTGGACCAGCAAAGCGTGACGGTTTCACCCTGTGGATCAGATTTGTTCATCGGCAGCAGGGAGGCAGAGTCGGTAGGCAGCCGATGTTTGTGTGCGGAGAGAAACGGGAGGGGAGGAGGGAGGGGTAGTGGGAAACTCTCCCCGCATTCTCGTTGAACCAAAATAAATCATCGTCGCGCATAAAAGTCATGCCCCCCCCCCCCCCCCCGTATTTTTGCAGGTCGTGTTCTCACTTTACGCGTAAAAAGGAACCCCCCCCCCCATTTGTTGAAGCGTGCCACACATAGTTGGACTGATCTGCGACGGTCCCACCTGTTTTGCAGAATTTGAAGCTGGCAGGAGGGGGGGGGGGCAGCCTTTAACGACACTACCGGTTGGCAAATGTCATCCGTAGTCCTGGAAGTAACTCTGCCAGCACGGCTGGTTTTAAGCGCGATATTTAACATACTGTAGTGTTTTAAAGGGGGCACGAGATGATTCTTATATTGTTATGCTTACACTAAATAAAGCAAGGCTAAAGTAGGCTTGGCGCGATAAAAATTAAAGAGTACTTGGAAATTGTTATAATACGGGCAACTTACTAAACAAGTGCAGCGTGTATGTGTGTGTGTGATTAATAATTTGTTACGACATTGCCAATGTTTAGCTTTGCGTTTAAGGTGCATGTTTTTTTTTAAAGTGTGTTTTGTACAAATCACCTGTTACCCCCCCCCGCCCACCCCCCCCCTAAGTTCAGCTTTCACGATGGGTGGAATGAAGCCTGTTTTCGCAATGCTTGGCTTCAAAGCCAGGATGGATTCCACGCGGAGTAAAATACGTTATCGCTGCCACTTGACCGCGTGTAACACGTGCAGTAAGACGCCCAGATGCACACCTTGCACCGCGAAAGGTTTCTTGAAGCGCTGTGCCATTTCAAAACGTGCATTGTTGGTCAACCATTTTTGTGTTTTTTTTGCTTTGCTGAAAACTGCGACGCCAAAAATAATTCTCCGCGGTGTGTATTGTGCCCCGAGGCAGCCGTTATCGCCGTGTTTTAGAATTCTCATTTGGGTGACTTGAGATACCGTGATGTACTTGGGAGAGCACGACCGCAGGTCTTTACCCCATCACGAGCCTTGCCCAAACAATCGCCTTAAGCCTGCCCCAAACCCAGGTGTGTAACTGCAACACACGACCGTTAATGGCGTCGTCGGTCAAGGGCATTCATTCATTCATTCCCTGTGGGTTTCACTGGAGAGAAACCATGGCCTTGTGTGTGTGTGTTGTGGCACTCGGAGACATTGGTGGACAGAATTCGAGGAGAAGTAGCGGGCTGGTCATTTTAATTGTTTGGAAACGAACAAACAAAATAATCGGGGGTCATGAAGATGTGTCGCAGCGATACAATGCAAGCTCACTGCCCCAGGCGAAAGGGAGTGGGGGGGGGATCGAAGTGTGTTTTTTCGTAACGTGCACATGAAGAACATCTCTGAGTGTGCCCCTGTTACAGTTTTCAGATCGTATGATGCTTCTGCTCCGTATGACACTTCAGCTCCGCTGCTGCTCAGGGATATTCCCTCTAAAGTGTCTTCGAAGCTGGGGGGGAGTGGGGGGGGGGTGCTGAACCACTTTTCCAGGCTCTCTTAAGATTTTTTGAGCTAATCTCAATTTAGTGTTTTCTTGAGCGAATCTCAATTGAGTGTTTTCTTGAGATCGCCTTAATTTGGATGGGCGAGAAGCCCTTGTGTACACGAAGTTGGCGAGTGCAGTGTTTGCAGCTAGAATGGGTTCCAGCCGATGGAAATATGAGCGACCGAGTGAGCTCATTTTGCAGGTGGAAAGACCGGCATGCCGGGGGGGGGGGGGGGGGGCATGCGTTGTGCGTGTGCCATGCCAAACCTGCCCCGGGTCGTATATTGCCAGTGTCGTGTGTCTCGTGGTGGTTTTTTTACGTGTGGTGGTGCTAGCTTTTTCTCCACCGCGGTGTTTAAAGAGGAAAGGTGACAATTTTACGAAATAACTGTTTTGGATTTTATTGCGCAGGAATCTTTTTGCTAAGTGTGTACAGTACTGAGAAATAAACATACATTTAAAAAATGCAGATGTATGCGACGTCCCTTACCGAATGCATGCCGGTAATTATGTTATATTTCCCTCATTTTTAAATCCTTTATATTAAGTTCACTTGCTTGCTTGCTTAGGACCGTGCAAATCTTTCGGTCGTTTTTTAACCCACTTCCCGTGATCCAATCGAGCTGACATTTTCCACACAGACTCGTTGTGCGTGACAATTAATGTTCGTGAATTTTTTTTTCCTAAATTTTACACTTTTTGGGACAAAAATATTATATTTAATTACCAATTGCTTAATGCTGCCATGCAATCATCTGACCCATAGGTGGCAGCCATCTCAAGCCAGAGACGAGAGGACCGCCACGCATATAAAGGATTTATAGTGAAAAACTTTGTTTTTACGGGTTATACTTGTTACTTGTGTTTTATTTGTGGGCTACCTTGTGCAGTCGGTGGAAATTGCCACGTGTCTCGTCAAGCGAAGAAGATCCACGGAGCCGTGTGGTCGAAATTAAATCACTTGTCTTTGAGCCGAGAGGGGCACTCGTTTGCAACACACAGATGGTATTGGTTCAAAAAAAAAAATTTTTTACAGCTTACTAATTTGGAGGGAGTCAATGGCGGCGGTTGCCTTCGTGTGATGCAGAGCAGCCTCAATAATGAGAATGTGGAATTCCCAACCGCTGTTCTACCAATGGTTGAGCAGCGCGCTCCGATGATAATTGGAATGTGGTGTAAACTTTAGTCGTGAAACGTTGCCAAAGAGGGGGCTGCGTTGGGCCAATGCTTCGTGGGTTCTTAACCCGGGGTGCGAACAACTGCCTGGGGGTGCGAACAACTGCCTGGGGGTGCGAACAACTGCCTGGGGGTGCGAGATGCCCTTTCTGGGGGTGCGAGACGTGGCCGGATTTTTGTTTGAAGTTAAATAATCGAAAACACAAATTAAGCACGGGCACGTAAGTACAATTAATTTGTTTCATGAAACCCAATGTATGTGTTAACATTATACACTTTATTGTTAACGATTGAGAGCTCAAAGGGGTGCAAGACTGCAGTAAAGGTGACGAATCACTGCCCATAGAGGGTGGACACGTAGTTGGGCTCGACTGGGGCTTGATTTCTCATGGAATATTTTCCAGAACCCTCCCACCCCGTAATAACATCACGGGGGGAGGGGAGAAGTGGAAATATTTGTTGGAGTTCAACCCTGAACGGTTCCGAAATTAGATTAAAAGTCCCTGGGTTGGACCTGGGCTGGACCCAGGTTCCACGTGGGGTCACAAAGGCGGCCCGTAGCCGTGCGTTATCACGTGCCGTGCTTTGGAGGGCATCCAGAGACGCCTTGAACAGCAAATAAAATTGACAAATAAGACTGCGGTTGATTACTGGCGGACACCGGCATTCCCAGAAATTGACATTGAGCGTGGAGTGCACACGCAAGGGAAGCTGTGTGTGTGTGTGTGTGCGCGCATTAAAATTGATAGGTTGGAGTGTACCCGTTGATGTTTTAACAAGCGTCTTTATAAGAATCGTGAGTTACATTAGTTGCATGCATAAATTGGAATTAGCACTGGAGGTTGCACGTTTATTTAAATTACTATGAACGATAATTGGTTCTTTACCCTTCTATCTGGCAACAAAACTGACACCTTTTTGCAAGGAGTCATGTTTGCATAGACCGCAATACCTGCAGTCATAAATACAAACAAAAGACATAACTCTGATAATGTGCACTGTCCTTGAAGTTGATTGGTCCACACCCGAGACAGCTTTCCTTCGAGCCTAGTCTCATATGGGTTGGACCAGATGACGCCAAAAGGCGCATTTTGGCGTCATCTGGTCCAACCCATATGAGACTAGGCTCGAAGGAAAGCTGTCTCGGGTGTGGACCAATCAACTTCAAGGACAGTGCACATTATCAGAGTTATGTCTTTTGTTTGTATTTATGACTGCAGGTATTGCGGTCTATGCAAACATGACTCCTTGCAAAAAGGTGTCAGTTTTGTTGCCAGATAGAAGGGTAAAGAACCAATTATCATATTTTTACTGGCAAATGAGGTCCCCATAGTGTAGATACTATGAACGAGTTCACACATCTGTAAAACGGCAAATGATCTGGTCCCACCTTATAAGTTGAAATGAGTTTGTGCGTTTTTAGAGATATGAACCCATTGCCCGTGTGTATTGATGGATAAGGCAGTCACAAAGGCTGCTTACTCATAGCCAACGACCAGCTCGCTTACAAAATGCTTCAGAGCAGTGGTTCTTCTTCTTACCCTGGGGTGCGAGATATGGGCAGATTTTTTTAGAAGGTAAATAATCGAAAACAAAGAACGGGCACTTTGTTTTATCAAACTCTAGGTATTTATTAACAGTATACATTTTTTAAATCATTCAGAACCAAAAGGGTGCAGACTACAGTAAAGGTTTAGGACCCAATGCTTTCGACTGCCATCCCCTGCTCTACGCGTGAATATTCTGCACGTGGCAGCATTGTGCATTCATCACCTTTGCGTACGTGCGCATTGCACGTGGTCCATGGGCCCGAGCAGACGCTGGTATCGCCCGAGGTGGCAAACATCTTCAGTTGTCCAGTGCCGCTGTATGTGCACGACCAGTCAGGGTGAATTTTACTTGGTGGCCCACTAGTTTATAAAAAAAAATTGGTGATCACATCATTCACTGTTCTTTGGCAACGTGGTGACAATCGTAACCACTACCGTTACGCCAGCTCAGGTGGTACCGACGAATGAGGTATCTGACCTGGAGTTGAGAGGTGATTGGGAGTGTCGATATGAAATATATGGGTTTTATTTTTTAAATCCAGCTCTTGTTGCAGGGCACTGCATGTGTGGCGGTGGCGGTAGTGGTGGTGGCGGCGGTGGTGGTGGTGATGCGGGTGGTGGTGGTGATGATGGTGGTGGTGCCGATGGTGGGGATGCTGGTGGTGGTGGCGGGGGTGTTGATGGTGGTGATGGTGATGCTGGTGGTGATGGTGATGCTGGTGGTGGTGGCGTAAATCGTCATCAGTGCTGCGTTGGCGTTTTCTCGCCGCGCTGTTCTACAGCAGCCCGCTGCGATATTTTCGGGTCGTGCGGTGAACTTTTTTCGCACCGTACCTAGCCAAACCGCGCCAAATCGGGGGCTTTGTCGCTGCTGCGTGTGCTGGCAGCCACTCCGTCAGCCACCCGCTTCAGTTGCTGAAGAAGCTGCGGGCACGTGGAGTGAAACGTCGGACGTGGTAACCGATAATGGCACGGCGAGGCGACAGGGTGGGGGGACGGAGTAAAATCACCGTCGCGGAAATGATGGATTGAGCAAATTCTTTCCGTTTTACTGCACGAGTGCCCCCGCAAATCGTAGGTTGCATGCAATCGTGGTGATGTGGCGTTATTGCCTTGATGAAATTCGAGTTTGTTTTCAAGTGATTATTTTTGGTTTGCTTAAGTATGTAACGTATGTGTGTGAACGTTGAGTAGGGCTAAAGGGTTTTTTGGCTTCAAAAAAAAAAAAACCCAACAAGTATGCGTGACCTAAAATCGATCTGCCTAATTTAGTGTGTAGTAAACTGTTAAGAATCTATTTTTTATCTATTTTTATATGTATCGTTTATTTGTAGTACGACAGTAAAATTTTGACGTTTCATGTTATGGCGTGTGGCGTACAAAATGTTATTAAAGATTTGTAAAACATACAACTTTTTGTGCATTGAGTGTCTTGATAAGCATGTACAGAAAAATTCCGAGTCGGATTTGACATTGGCTACATTAACACTGCGATGATTTAAAACACAATCAGATTTTTTCTGAGTGACCTGGGTGAGCCCTGAGTAAAGAAAATGCTCCAATGATTCATCTTAATCTGAACTCCCAATACAGGGACTCTTATTGTGTGTACGCGTGTTAAACTTCTTTTGCACCCTACGTAGCCAACCGTGCTAATCGGAGGTGCCGGGGGAAGGACACCAAACTAAGCACGCAAAAAGCAGTTCTTAAGGATTGAAGCTTTCGTGACTGCAAGGATTCATACTCTTAGGTTTTTTCGGTAAAGTCACGTAGGTAAATAATAAAATTATAATTAATGAAAGTAAAATAAAAATCACGACGTTTCGGAGGCAACACAAGCTTCACACAAGCTTAGTATATATACAAGGTCGGGTCTCTTGGGATTTCTCTTTACTTGATACAGCAATCGTGCTGTGACGGTTCCACCTGAAGACGGAAGGTTGTGTTGCCTCTGAAACGTCGTGATTTTTATGTTACTTTTATTAAATTAAATTTTATTTTTTACCTACGTGAATTTACCGAAAAAACCCAAGAGTACAGTTCTTGAGAATTTAGTTTTTTGCGATCTAGATATAAAAGTGCAAAGTTGTGACATCTTATCGGAAACTGAACCTACGACATTGCCAATGTGTCTTACCATGCGTTGTACTTTTGGCCGCTATGATAATAATTATAATCGGGCGTTGTTCACGCGGTCTAGAGCAGTGATTGTTAACCTTTACTTCAACCTGCACCTCTTTGGTTCTCAATCGTAAAACAATGTAAAATGTCAATACATACACAGTGCTTCCAATGAAACACAGCCGTTGTGCTCTCATGCCCGTGCTCAATTTACGCTTTCGATTATTTACCTTCTAAAAAAGAAATCTGGCCACGTCTCGCTACCCCCAGGTAGGGCATCACGCACCCCCTGGATGCACCCCAGGTGAAGAAGAACCACTGGGCTAGAGGAAATCTCCCTCCATTGCGAGTGTTTGCAATGGAAGGAGGCATTTCCGACAATGAATTCATTGCCCGTGTGACCAGAGAACCCCTCAAATGTATTGTGGTGCCATTCCACGAAGCATCAAATTGTAGGACGTATTGCGCACATCGTTACACAAGCATCAGTGCGTATGTTTGGGCAAGTGAACTCGCTCTTTAAAAAACAAATAAAGTAACAAGTAAAAGACTTAGAAATTGAAATTGTATTACAAAAATCTCCCACGGAATAAGCAAACGTTTGGCACTCATTGTCATCA